TGGAGGATACATGAGGCCAAAAGAGAGGAATCTTGTATGTGCCCAATGAAGGGGAAAACCTGAGCGTTGGCAAATATAATTGGCTATTTTTTAAAATAAACACGTTTGTGAACATTCTTGACTTGTTTTCTTTGACTGTGTATGTGCCTTGTGGCTCTGGCCCCTATGGAGGTTTTTGGTATGCAGACTGCGATGCTGGGAAATGTGGTCACCTCCGTGATTTGCTTGGACCTAATAAACAACAGCAGCATCTTAGTTATTCAAGAGGAAGGGAGGAATCCTGTTTTCAGGGCTCTACTTAATACATTGCTTGATTGTCTAATTATAGATTTCAGAACATTAATTACTAAACAGCCCTGTTGCAAATTCCAGATGGAACTGTTTGGCAGAAGCCTGAATGCAAGTGATTGCCAAGCAGGTGTGCCAGTACATTATTGAAACTACAAATGCCCACTTTTGTGTTCGGCAACCTTCACCAACCAGATACCCACAAATATGACTTTTATTGTCCAGAGGCCAATTACCATCTTGGCTAAGGAAAGGGATCCATTACAGCTGGAGAGCACCAGTTTGAGAGAGCTGACTATGGGATTCAATTATAAATTATGCATCACCAGTCATTTACTAAAGAAGGTTGGGAGTGCAAACCATCTACATTTATGCAAGAGAAATACAAGTTAAGTTAGGATAGTGACATTTTGCATATTGAAATGTTTAATTTTGAGTCAATGGAAGCATGGGTGGTATTTTCATGGCAGTCTAAGTCTTGCTTGCTCGATTAGCAGTCTCACCATTCCACAAAGCTCTTTAATCCAGGCCCCAGTCTTATTTAAGACTCAGCTTGTCATGCTAAACCCAGAGTAGCTGCTGTTTCTGTTTAGTAGTTACCAGAAACTGAAAGCCATAAGTAACCTGTGTTTTAGACACCAGTTCCGAGTAATCCAAAACTGCAGCTATTCTGAGTTTAGGTCAATATTAAAACTTAGTTAAAGAACAATGTGGGATACGGGATAAGACAATGGCACGCACAGGCCCGTTAAAGAAGCAGATTTGCTAAATGTGTGAGAACTTGTTCATGATGGAACAAATCCTGTATTGATCTAGAAGTTTTAAGGTCTAGCAATGGGCCATAATATGTATGCTGTCTTTACAGATAACAGTTCTTCCTAATAGGTTCCAGATTAAAAAAAGAGAATAATTTCCAAGCTTAAGTATCCCTTATCATAGCATTAAGGAAAAAAGTAATAGTAGGGGATCTATTCATATTCAGCTATTCAGCTAAGCAGGGCTTTTTTTGGTCATAGAACGCCCAGAATGGAGTTCCGGCACCTTTTTGGGATGGAACCTTGTAGGGTAGGCAAGGCGGGTTGTATGACGTGTGTGAGTTCCGGCACCTTTTTTTTATTTTTTAGAAAAAAAGCACTGCAGCTAAGATACTAAACAAAGACTTGGCAAATTGTTTACAGCCAGTATTTCTCAAACCAAGCCTTTGCTTTCTTGCAAACCTGGATCTAAAAGCAGCACAGTACGCCTAATTTACATTTAATGGATGATGTGGAAGACAGGGGGACAGCTTATGGATTTGGAACAGTGTTGACATATCTGTGTGTATCCATCTCCTTCAATATACTTAGTGCCAGTATTTAAAAAAAATATGCTGCAAGACTAAATAGCTGGTCGAGTTGATTTAAGATTGGAAAATTGCCCAAGAGACCTCCTTCTCAAGAGCTTTTCCAGTCAGAATTGGAGTACACTGAGAGCAGACAGACTCATCATAAAATCATCTAATATTACAGGAGCCAAACTTCTGGCAGCAAAGGTATACTAATTTCTTCAGTTGGTCGAACTCATGTACCATTACGGGCCACTGATTAGATAAAATCATTTGTCTGGTCCTTTTTTAGGGTTCTGTTATAGATATAAAAAAAAAAAAGAACAAAATGATGAAATGAACAATAAATAGAAGTAACAAGTAGATTTCAGAAGCAGTTAAAAAAAAAGAACAACAACAACAAAAAACCTAAACAACCACGTTCATGAACTGGAGCTAATGCAAAAAAGCCCAGAATATAAAGAGGTTTATCTGAGAGGGAAAGCATTAACTAGTGCAACTTTCCTCTCACACAGATATATTGACACAACAAAATAAAGATGCGAAACTCTTGCCAGGGATATAATATGAGAAATCCAAATCATAGTGATTTCTTAACTTGTGTGGACAACAGGAACATACATGGGCAGGTTTGAGTAAAAAAAAAAAAGTCAAAATGGGAGCTACAACTACGGTATATAGCTGAAGTCCCACTCACACTCCTTTACAGCAAACAATTTGGGTTTTTTGGGAACCATCCCTACTAATGCCCTGATAAACAAATATTTGAAATACAACAAGAAAAAAAATATTATTTTATTTAGGCCATAGCATTTGACGCAAGACTTGCAAGTACTTGTTCCCCCCAATTTTGGGGGCAGAGGAGTGAAGTAAAAAGTAATTGAGAGCTGCAGACAGAAGGAAAGCAGGAAATATTGAAATCTCATTTTGCAAGCTATTTTTTAATACCCCCCTGGTTATTTTTGCCCTTCAAACAACCCCAGTATATATTTTTGTCTCATAAGTAGGAAACAGTTCAAAGGACACAAATTTTGAAAAAAACCCAGTTACCAACAAGTAAGATAAGTTCTAAGACAAGGTAGATATTTTAGTTAATCTTTTGGCGTTTAACTGTTATTTAAAATGCCTATAATGTGTTCCTTAAACTTATTGCAGTTTGTAATTGAATTTCATGTAAACCTGTCTTATATAATTTTCTTGGGGTTCACTAAATAATTGGCCATTTCTCATCTCCAATATTTCTCAGTGTTGCTTCTTTTTATCTGCAGAAAAAAATATCTACAATTGTCAGCATGAGAAAGGGCCTCTTGGAGAATTCCTGGACCTCCTAGGGTATGACAAGAATGCAAGATGCCTCTCTTAATCTATTAAACTGACTTGGTTAGTTTGGCATTTAGAAACCTTGCTGGAAACTAAATGTAATGAGACTAAAATTAAACTAAACTTAGGTAATGAAGTTACCTACTAATTTTCTCTTTCCTAAAAAGGATAGATGCAAACAACACTTCCTACACTACAGGGATTAAAAAAATAAGTAAACAGCATCTGATCTTGATCAAGTTATAGTTGATAGTTATAAATATATGCTAACGTAATAAGACAATTATACTTCCGATTAAACTATGGATAGCATTGAAAATGAACTGTGAGGGCTTGGACATCAAGTAACCTTTTTTTTTTTGTCCATCTTGATCCAGACAGACTTTTTTGTCCATCTGGACAGACTTGAACACGGCGCTATCTAACAAAATGAAATTCAATGGTGAAAAAAGTAAGGTTCTACATTTAGGCAAGAAAAACCAAATGTACAGGTATAGTATAGGGGGTACCTTGCTCAATAGTAGTAATTGTGAGAGGGACCTCGGAGTCCTAGCGGACAATCACTTAAATATGAACCAGCAGTGTGCTGCAGCTGCCAAAAAGGCCAACACAGTGCTAGGCTGCATTAACAGAGGGATAGAATCAAGATCACATGAAGTATTAATACCACTTTACAATGCCTTGGTAAGGCCACACTTGGACTACTGCATCCAGTTTTGGTCACCACGATGTAAAAAAGATGTTGAGACTCTAGAAAGAGTACAGAGAAGAGCAACAAAGATGATTAGGGGACTGGAGACTAAAATATATAAAGAACAATTGGGTATGTCTAGTTTAATGAAGAGAAGGACGAGAGGGGAACATGATAGCAGTGTTCCAATATCTCAGGGGCTGCCACAAAGAAGAGGGAGTAAAGCTATTCTCCAAAGCGCCTGAAGGCAGGACGAGAAGCAACGGATGGAAACTGATCAAGGAGAGAAGCAACCTAGAACTAAGGAGAAACTTCCTGACAGTTAGAACAATTAACCAGTGGAACAACCTGCCTCCAGAAGCGGTGAATGCTCCAACACTGGAAATTTTTAAGAAGAGACTGGACAGCCATTTGTCCGAAATGGTGTAGGGTTTCCTGCCTGAGTAGGGGGTTGGACTTGATGACCTCCAAGATCCCTTCCAACTTTATTACTATTACTATTATTACATTCAAAGCCCAGGCTTATGCAGAATCGCATTGTTCGTTCTACAGCATTGAAACATTTTTTTCCTTTTTTATATGATCTCTCTTTCATTCAGACCCTTTCATTATTTCTTCTGGAGAAATTCTAGAAAGAAAGAAATCCAGTTGCCTCTTTACAGAAAAAAAAAATCAGACCAAATGCTCAATAAATAGAAGAGCTGTTCCCTGCTTTCCAATTCCTGCTTTTTTAACTCACCACCCATTCAAGGAGGGCAACCCTTCCATTTTCATCATGTCCCTAACTCGCCTTTGCACAGCTCCAGGCTACCACCCAGGACTCTGGTTATGCTAACGGCTTGACTTTGCCACTTTCCAGGAGTTGCACAAGCCTGGTATTGAATTGCTGAGCCATTCAGGGTCTTAAGACACAAACCAAGCCTCCTGTCAACAGATGTTCTTCTTTACCCTGCTCTTCAAGGCCAAGATCTAACTTTGTCTTTAGTTTCTGAGCAATTTTGGAAATCATGCTGCTATGGTTAGATAATATCCGGCCTTTCCTCCACCATAAGGGAAATCTGCCTTCACAATAATTTACTTAATGCTCCCCCCACTCCATTCCATTCCACTCCAGTCTATCAAGCAGGCCAGCCTTGTGGCTAGCCTGTTGTTCTAGCTTGCCGGATAGCAGACAGCCCTGACGGTTGTCCCTTCTGTCAACATCCTTGCTGGCATCCTGGGAAAATGTCTTGGTGCCAGGCAGGCCCACCTCCCTGGCGATGAAGAGATTAAGGGTTGCTGCTTTCCTTTTTAAAGCGCCCGGCCCCATCTCCTTCATTTCATTCTGCGGCAGAGGGAGGCATCTACAGAGTCTTTGCTTACCCACCTTCAGCGGAGATGGAGTGGGCTCCAAAGCTGGTAGGTGCTTGGCCCTCCTGGAGCCTCCTTTATTTATTTTCCTGCTAATTAATGACCTATCAGGCTTGTTTGCTTTGGGAAGGATAAACTGTGTCTGGATGAGCAATTGCTTTTAGAGCCTGGTAAAGTGGAGGAGACAAAATCCAGCCACCCAACTAGAGACAAAATCAGAGAGTGAAGCTCTCCGGAGACAAGCAAACACACAACTGCTGGCACGCTGGAATGACTGCCTTATGTGCCTAAGATCCACATCTGTCCCAACAACACAAACAGATGCATGTAGAGAAGCAGCTTGCCAAGAAGACACAGGCTCCCTGGCATCAAATGGTGGCTTTTCTTTTATTAATATTGTTGTTTCACTATAACAAAGGCAAGAAATGAAGGCGAGGGCTGGCGTTGAATGGTTTGGAGAGATGAGCGGGACAGTGGGCTTATTCCAGAGGTCTCCAGATGTGTTCGATCAGCAATTCTTATTTTTCTTCCTGGGAATTCTGTAACTCCAGGCACATCTGGAGACTGCCAAACTGGGAGTAGCTGATATGTTAAGCAATGTGCTTGAAATGATAAGAAGCCAAATTCTTTTCCCCGAGTTTCAAAGGAATCCGATCCACTAGAATTTTAGCAACAGGAATGCTTAAAAAAAACCCTGAGTATTGAAATGACAAAAAGCATAATTATTCTTATAAAAGATTGCTTCAATCGTTTACTTTGACATTTTTCTTTTTTCTTTAAACACATATCTCTGGGAATTGTATGACAGATAGCATTCAGTGTGACCTTCTTTTGTATCCATGGGGGAGGGGGTGGGACAAAAAGGAACAGGGCTTATTTTATGTTCTTATTGCTTCCTGTAGAGGAGCCTTGAAACAAAATACTTGAACCTGGAAAACATGGGAATGTTCAAAATGCCCTATCAATCAAATAGGAACTCTCTGGATGAGACACATAAATTATTGTCAGGTATCTCACGGAAAAATTGTTGTTTTCCACCCTTTCCACTCAAACAAGCGAGCAAACAAACAAACAAACAAACAGATTTTTGAGCAGAGTGTCTCTGAACTCTGGATAAGCAGCCAGCCCTATCAGAGATAGTCTTTGACTAAGGAGAAATCCAGTTGACACTCAGTCCTGAAGCTCACTGAAAAACCCTGAGTGAATCACCACCTTTTAGGTTACTACCAAAAGTTTATTGCGAGGATGCTCCAGGTTTATCAGTAAGAAATAAAAAAAAATATTAATCAGATTTTTATTAAATGTTCAACAATATTTTGCTATGTTTTGAACCTCTGCTTCTTCTTTGTTTGCTAGTGTCCCTTATTTTGGTTTGGTTTGCATATTGTTCTTCGGTCTTTGCTAGTGTTGTGGCTCCGTCTTGTGAGCCCCTCTTATCGGAGGAAGAAGCCTCCGAACATGAAGGAGAGGAGATGGCCAGGCCTCCCTCTCCAGGACCCTCCTCTTTGGTAATGCCTCAGGTGTCTCCCGACGGAGAAGAGATTGACCAGGAGCCAGGTGGTTCTGAGATTGGCCAGGAGCCAGGTGTTTCGGATAGTGATGAAGATATGTTGTGGCTGGATCCACGCCAGTGTAGGAGCGACAAGCGTGCGCAGCAGAAAAGGAGATGTGCCAGAGATTAAGCTGAGTCACTGGACCACACCCCACAGGCTATAAAAGGGAGGTGGTGGCCATTTGGACTCTGTGACGGACAAAGCTAAATCTCTGGCGAAGTAGTTTACTGTGGACTTAATTTCTAACTGTGTGTATTGTTTTTTGTTCTCTGAGTAAAAGTCTTGGCAGGCAGCTACGGAGCTGCTGCCAAGTTTCTTATCTGTAGTGTGGAGTGTGGAGAAGTTATTTAACCCTCGGCTGGCTGTTTGGGTGTGTGTGTCAGACGGGGACAGAACAGCTAGGGTTTCTGTTTTATTTTAAAACCATCATGCGATATGCTGTATTTAGAGCACCCGCGTTCATGCAAATGAATGAATAAAGTTTGCCTGTTTTTCTTTTTCCAGTTGCTTTTCTGCGCTCTCTGCCTCTCCTTGGCCCTGGAGGCTGCCCCTGAATCGAAAGAGCAAAGCCGAGGAACAAAAGGAAGAAGGAGAGGCTCAGCCAAAGTCAGGGAACAACATCTGCGGGCACAGGAATCCTCGCCTGACCCTGTGCTGAGGGTAAATCTGGGGGCCCTCACCGAGTACACCTTCGTGGAGGATTATGAGCGGAGCATTCAGGAGATGGTTAACCAGCTGCGAAATAGCTCTGAGCTGCTGGACAGTAAATGCCAGGTCAATCTGAGACTCTGGATGTCGAACAAGAGGAGTTTGTCTCCATGGGCCTATAGGTGAGATGGAACAAAGTTCGGTAACTGTGGGAGTCTTTCTCACTCACTCGCAGAAACTTTCAGCTTTGTCAGACTCGTGATCCTGTAGTATCCTATTGTCAACATGATGCTCAAAGCAGTCCTTGAGTTAACAATCTATTTTGCTGTGGAGGGGAGGAGATTTTACATTTATACTGAGCTTGGTGGCTTTGCACACAAGAGTAAAAGCCAAAAGCATAATGAAAAGTAACTGGCTCAAGTAAAACAGGATTGGGGTAGGGAGGACACTTTTGTGTGTGTGCGCGTGTGCCTTCAAGTGAGTCTTGACTCCTGGTGACTGCCCGGACAAATCCCTGCAGTTTGCTTGGCAGACATGATTTGCCATTGCCCTTTTCCTAGGGCTGAGAGAGAATGACTGGCCTGAAGTCAGCCACCTGGCTTTGTGTCAAAGGTGAGACTATAATTCATAGTCTCCTGGTTTCTAGTCTTATCCCTTAAGCACTACACCAAAATGTCTCTTCAGGAGAGAACTTGGGGAATAAAATTACATTAGTCACCCCTGGCTGGTTTAGATTACACATGAGCTTGTCAGGAAGCTAAGGGGGATTTGGGTACAGTGGATCCATCAACACCAGCAAAAATATTCACTTTTTCTGATGGAAGAGGTCCAATATCAGAACTAGAATAGAAATTGAGACTTCATGGGAACTCAACAATGGTTTTGATGACCCTCTCAGTCAACAAAGGTGGAAATATGAGAAATCTTACAGCCTCTGGGGATTAGAGGAATGTAGCTTAACTCTGTTTAGCATTACTCAGACTGCTAAGGATCATCTGAACAGCAAGGTTACATTTCATTCTGTATATTAAGTAGATTGGATTAGAATAGCGTAAGTATATGATCCAGTCACTGCGTGTTCTTATTTAGAATCTTGCACTGGGAACAGCTTCAGTGCTATTTTCCTAAATAACTTCTCTAAATAAAAAAATATTTTGATTGTTGTTAAGAGAGTGAAATTGAAAGAGTAAAATAGAAATTATGAACTTTGATCTAAAAGTGAATTTTACTATAGTGTAGCCATGTGTAATCCCAGACTTCAGAGGTTAGTTTAATGCTTCAGACACATTAGCCAACTCAACTCACCTGGGATGAAGTAGGATATAACAGAACTGAACCTAAAATAGAACTAGTAAAAGCCTGGTCCTTTGGGGAGGTTGTACTTGGGATTCGCATCCTGGCAGCATCACTGGTTTAATTATTGTTAACTGGGACCCTTGAATTGTCCAGAGTAGAAATGACAGGAAGGAAGCTTTCTTGGCATCATCAAAAGGTGAATCCTACATCCAAAAA